CTACGAGTGATAGTTGTTATCAACAGTTTTTAACGCCTTCAAAGCGTTGTTTCAGGCCATCTAGTCTCAGTGTGGTTATAATAACTCATTAAAAAGATATTAACAATACGGTTAGTGTATAATTAACTAAACATGAGTACATTTTCAAAGTACCAGTTTACCAAATACAATTTACAGTATTACATCTCAGTATTTAATAATAGCTGGTGAAGCCAGGCACACTCACTTTTACAGTTTATACAAAAAGGATACAAAAACAAAACACTGGTTTACAAACAGAACGGTTTTATGTGATTAAAACAAAACACGGGGGCGTGTCACTATAGTGTAATGTGACACGCGGTCGTGTCGGGTCTTCTTTTAAGTGTATATTTTCGTGGAAAACCTAGTAAACGACATCCAATTGCCCTCAAACTTTATATATATGCTAATAAGAAGTAAAAGAGCTTATGGGGAAGATCTAAATGATAAAAATATTAGAGGGGTAATTTGGTTATTTTTAGTAATGTACTATGATTTTATAGGTAGTGGTTGATGGAAGTTTACCATTGAAGAAGTGATTGTAGGAAGTTAGAAGTTAAGGTGAGTTACCGGGAACATACATCCTCCTACTTACTCATTTATATTTGATAAGTTTTACTTGATTTTCATCGCATGGTACTCTATGTACCCATTGATTGGTATGTGACCTAATTGTGAATTAATGAAATGTGATTTTTGAAATGTTTTGATAAGCCAAAGAGCTGAAATCTTGGAAAAATGTTTTCGTCATCCTATGTGTGCATATCCATACTAGGATGGGTGTGACTTTGAGATTTTCGGTGTACCTAAGTGGACATTTGTTGTTGTTGTGAGTAGATTTCTAGATAATCCTCACATGCAAGAGTAAAGGCTCGCTAGCCATTGTGTGGCCTATGTTGGATGGCCCTTAGTGCCTTGATTGTGGATGTAAGGGCAAATTTGATAATTACATTTGTCATATGTTCTTCACATCCGGCCATCAACTTGTGAGTTAGACTTTGAGATTGACATGGGGTTGAGAATAGATACATGGAGTTGAAACTTTTGAACTTAAAAGAGTTTACATTTTGTTTGAAAATGATTTTACAACTGGGCCCTAGCGAAGGGTGTTACACTTTATCCTTAATGTGAGTTACAAGTGGAGGATTTTCATCACGTGTTTGTCCAATGTGAAGTAGCCATAAATGCTTGCAAAATAGTGTTCAAGTGGCTTGATTTACCCTTTCTTTTGTTAACATTGTTGCCGATCTTCGCAGTTGGGTGGATTCAAATAGTTTGTTTCAATAAAAAAATAAAAAAAATAAAAAAAGAGTGGTGGAGGTCATTGTTTTTACAATGATTTGGATGATTTAGATGTTTCGAAATGGTGTTGTGTTCTAAAGTATCAAGTTGAAGAGAAGCTCCATTTATTATAACATTGTTTTACTGATTGGTTTTCGTGTGTGTATATATATATAAAGGGTGGACTTTGTGGTTATAAAACCCAATGTTCCATAATTTTTTGTAATTGTTTTTCCCAAGCTCCTTCCTAGTTGTTTCCGTTTATAATATTCAGCCGTTAAAAAAAATTAAATGAGAAATAAAAATACACATAAAGCATGATTATACGTTATAGATTTTAAAATTGTATATTAAAAAAGAAAAAAAAAACCTTTAAATCTTGTATATGTATCTTAGTAATTAAGATTTATTTAAATTGTAGAAGATCATTAAACTTTTTTTTTCAAAGTCGCTACTGAACCTATAAATATCACTTTAATCAAATATATTAGTGATCTTACAACTTACATAAAATTTAATAACTAAATAAATACAAAATTAATAGTTTAATACTATTCGATTTCAACTGTAAACTTAAAATTAATTAATGTCCCATATACTTGTTTAAGCTTAAACCTTTGTATCATTTTAATTGATATTGACACATTATTATGTTATCTTGTTTGATAGTGGGGATCGACTAGTGAAGATTCTCGAAAGTATACTTTATTTTCTTATTTCAATAAGTATTTTGTCATTGATCATTAACTAATTAAAATATTATAATTTTAGTTTGTTGTCAGATTAAAAAATATAACTAAAATCATGCTCAATTGCGCAGATATGTTTCATAATTTGTATCGCCTTGTAACCAAATCCAGATATGTCCGGCGACAACCACATACAGGTTGCAGCCTTCCCGGCGGCCGATGTTGTAGTAGTAATGGTGCCATTCGTCGCGCAAGGTCACCTGAACCAGCTCCTCCACCTCTCCCGTCTCGTCTCCGCCTACAACATCCCCGTGCACGTCGTCAGCGCCACTCATCACATAGGCCAAGTCCGCTCCCGCCACCATAGTTTCGACCAACTTTCCGACGACGTCTCCACCCACATCCACTTCCACGCATTCCCAACACCTCCCTTCACCACCCCTCCTCCACACACTTCCATCCCTTTCCCTACCCACCTTCAACCCTCCTTCGACTCCACCCTCCATCTCCGCCACCCCGTCGCCGACCTCATACGTTCTCTCTCACAAATAGCTAAAAGAGTCGCCGTCATCCACGACGTTCTCATGTCTTACGTCGTTCAAGACGTCAAGTCGATACCAAACGCTGAGACTTACGTCTTCCAACCGCCGCCAGCTTTCTACCGAGCCTCCACCCACTGGGAGAAAACCGGCGGACCATTCCCGGTTGACCTGGATCTGATGAATCGGCTTCCTTCTCGCGATGGAATATCCAGCCCGGAATTTCTGAATTTCGTGATGCTTCAACAATCCCACCTCAACTTTCACGTAGGAGAATTATACGATTCATCGAGAGTGATCGAAGGCAAATTCATCGAATATCTAGAGAGAGAAGAGATCTCCGGGAAAACGAAGATATGGGCTGTCGGACCATTTAATCCTGTAAACGTGAAAGCTTCAAAAAATCGCCATGAATGCTTGCAATGGCTAGATAAGCAACCTGCTAATTCCGTTATCTATGTATCTTTTGGGACGACAACCACCTTTACAGCCGACCAAATCAGAGAACTAGCCATCGGATTGGAAAGAAGCAGCGAAAGGTTCATTTGGGTGGTTCGACCTGTAGACATGGGTGTCGAAGAGCATGGGTTGGTGGAGTTGCCGGAGGGGTTTGAAGAGAGAGTGAAGGGGAGAGGAGTGGTGGAGCGGCGGTGGGCACCGCAGTTGGAGATTTTGGGTCATGTTGCCACCGGTGGGTTCATGACTCACTGTGGTTGGAATTCGAGCATTGAGAGCATATCCATGGGAGTTCCGATGGCCACGTGGCCTATGCATTCTGATCAGCCACGAAATGGGTTTTTGATGACGGAGGTTCTTGGAATTGGTGTGGCGATGAAGGACTGGGAGCGTAGAAAAGAGTTGGTGACGGCGGAGGTGGTGGAAGACGCTGTTAAGACGCTACTGGCTTCCAAGGAAGGAGAGGAGATGCGGCGGAGAGTAGAGAAATTGGTCGGCGAGGTCAAGAAATCGGTGGAGAAAGGTGGTGCGAGTCGTAAAGAGATGGATTCTTTCATTTCATACATTCTTCGTTGATAAAAGAAAAGATCTATTAATTTGTGATGTTTTGAGTCAGCTATAAGATAATCAAATTTTGTTTATATTCATTCATCTATATCGACTCATTAAATGATTTTTTTTAGATTGATATTTTTTTGTTCACAGCCCAAACTTTAAACATTGGTGGATTTAATGACTTCATTTAACTCCAATAAATGTTTTTTAATTCCAATATATAATCATTAGAATTTTTTTAGTGTCTTATGTGACAGAGAAAGTGCAAAGGAGATGACTACGCGAGAGAAAGCATCAGTCTGATGAGTGATGACTTCTACGTATTTTGTCCTATGAGCTTAAAAAATTTGTTTGGAAAATAGAAAAGTGCTTATAACTTTTGAATTTGAAATGTGCTTATAACTCCTTCATCTAAATTGACTATAAGCTTATTCAAATATTTTTCTTAAAAGAGGTTTATCGATAAATTATAGCTTCTTGCAAGTTGCAACCACATAAGCTAATCCTTTTGGAAACTCTTTTTTGCCACCACATACACTAATAAGCATTTTTTTTTTAAAATGTTTATCGAGTTATATAAGCAATCCCCTAATAAGAGCAAGTTTGTGTTAAATACCATTTAGAAGGCTATGAACCACATCAGAAATGAGTAACCCTAAACTCTCATCCCCACTACTAATAACAACACTTGTTTCTTTAACTTCTACAAAACCCCTCTTAGGCTCAACCACATTCACCACATTTGATCCACATTCAAATGACCCTTTTACCCCAATCTTCTCCAATTCCACCACTAAACTCTCTAAATCAACCTTACCCCAATGCACCAATGGCCCGATCTCGGTTTCCAAAACCTTCACCTCTTTTCCCCCAACTAAATATTGTTTCCCGTGTTCCAAATAGAGCTCGCCTTTTAACCTTGACATGCTCAACTCCTCATTTTTCAACTTTGAGAAAGTGAGTTGTGAGGCCAAGTTTGTTGCGATATTTAGCTCAGAAAGATTCTTGGAATTTGGTAAGCGAAGTGTTTCGAATTCCGTGTAAAATAAACATGGCAATGATTTGCTCAAAGGTTCAAAAAACTGTTTTGTGTAATCCGGGAGCTGTTTGTTGATAAAAAAAAATCGAAAAAAACGTTAGATAATGAAGTAACAAAATAGGAATATAGGCCATGTGCTTTATTTTATTTATCCGAAAAGAAAAAGAAAGCAGAGGTGGATAAGAAATTTGTTACCAAAATTTGTTTTGGGTGTAGCATTTTCAGCAATTGTGGAACTTTCTCCAATCTACAAGCAAGAGATCGGGTAAGGGTTAACTTATATATAGAGATTAATTAACTAGTTTTTATTTCGATTTAAATAATTTCATGAAATTTTAAAAGATAAAAAACTAAAAATAACTGCTTGAGTACTTGGAGTAGCGTTGGTAGTTAGGAGAGTAATAGAAACAAAGAGAACTATTTTTTGCTTATAGCAATTAATCAAATTGAGAAAATGATATGCTTTTTATTTTAAAGAAAGAGAGATAATATTCAGTTTAAAAATTATTATAATTCTAAATTCGATATAAAAGTAAAAATTAAAAGAAATTTGATTGCTGAGAACCCAAAAATCATGAAATCTGTCCCGTTTAATTCTAATTTTAAATATTTAAAAGTATATATAATTTCATATATTATATAAAATCAAAAAAAAAAAATTATTAATCCTCAAAGTGGTGGATGACTTACTTTATGCCAGAATAAAAGGAGCATTCCAAAACCTTCATTGCTATAGGTTTGAAAGGTGAGAGTGCTAGATCAGTGTCAATTCCTTCCTGAAAATAGTAAATTCTATAAATTAAAATGTTATTTCTTTCTCACTTATATATGAATGTTTTTTCTACTTAATAAGAAAAAACAAACTAAACAAAAGAAAACTTTCTCCATTAAGTCCTTCAACTTTTTTTTTTTTTACAAATTTCCCCTCATTTGTTTTTTCTTTTATTTTCCCAAGTGTCATCAAATATATTTAAGAGTCTGAATTTCTAAGCGGGTATTGATTTTTAACATGTTGTTTGGTTGGCTTGGAACCTCTTGAATTATAAAAATGACCATTTTACCCTTCTGTATTATAGTTTGCTGAATTCAATGCATAGAAGAAGGAGAAATGAACCTCAAGAACAAGCAGAGAATTTGGATCCCCATGCCAACGATGAAGTAAATGTACAACGGGTCCCAGCCTCAAACTCCAGTGAGGACAAACCACTATGCATGGCTCCTGCCACATCATTCTGTGTACATATAAAAACAAAAACATGACATAATGAAACCATGTAAATGTCTCAAAGTAAATGATTGTTTACAACATGATTACAATCATCATCTTACAATAATTCATGTGAATCAAGTGTTGGAAATATGTGGATCTTTTTCTCCTTTATCAGCTCTTCATGACCAAAAACCGCCTTCCCAGAGTACATCTGTAGTAGGACCATAGGGTAAATAGTAAATACAAATAAGGATAAGGAGGGCATTTACGTCTTTTGAGTTGAGTATTATTATTGCTATTACCTTGTCTTGTCGATGCTTGCATAGCCATTCTGGTAAAATATTTGTGTATGCCAGTAATTCTTCTGCTACACTAGAGATGATAAATATAGGAACCTACAATACAATTACAAACACACATCAATATTTTAATATAAGACAGATACTTGAGTAAATTGGTTGCATCTTATAACAATAATTGAAAATAAACAAAAGGAAAAATGTTTGCTTCATCTCAAATGAAAATGAGAAGGGCATTTACGTCTTTTACAAAATCCATACAATACCTTCATATCAGATGAGTCAATATGCAAAGCAAACAACTCCAAAAGCTGCAAAACAATTCCAAGCCTCCCAATGGGAATTAGAACAGAACCACCATCTTTTACAGAGTCCATTGAACATGAGCATATGAAGTTCATTTTCTCCATTTCTTCTGATCTTTCATCAGAATTCAACAAGAAATCATCAGCATTGAATTCCAGAGTATTTGCATTGTCACTACCAAGAGTTGAAGCAAAATCAGAATATATAAGAGCATCACTTCCTATAAGAGCATGGAAATCAAAATCCATTGCAACCCCAGATGAGAATATAGAGTTTGAAATATATGAAATATTCCTTTTTGGACTTTTAATATTCCAATTACATGCGCCTATTTCTAAACCAGAGCTAAAAGCCTTCATGATCAAAGTGCCATTATAGCAAGCTTCTTCTGCATATTTAAGAGTCTCAACTTTTTGCATACAGTCCTTCACATCAGCTGCACTGAGAAGAATCTTATGTTATTTCCTTTAACACAAATATCTATAAATTGCAAGAAACATCAATGTACTTTATTTTTCACCCATAGTATCAATACACTTACATTTCTTTATCCATAATACCAACATACTTACAATATTTTATCAATAACAGCAATATGCAGCAACTCATAATATCAACATACTTACAACTAATTAGTCATAATAACAAGGGATAATGACTTGAAAGGGTAACGAACTTTCAACTTTGTTCATATTTAGTCACTGAACTTTTTTTCATGCTTGATTAAACCCCTAAATTATTTGAATCTGTTCACATTTTACCCTTATGACAGGTTACAACCGGTAATAAGGGTAAAATGTGAAGAATTTCAGATAATTCAAGGGTAAATCAAGAACAAAAAAAGTTCAGTGACTAAAAATAAACAAAGTTGAAAGTTCGTTACCCTTTTAAGTCATTATCCCTAATAACAATCTGCTTACATTGTAGTAGCAATATGTAGTAAAATAAAATTCAATCCCCATATTGGTAGAAAATGTAAGTAAATTGATATTATAAGTATAAACTTGCAAGTGTGTTGCTATTATGTATGAAAAACCAAGTAAAGTTCCCATATTTGTAGGGAGAGTAAAGTACATTGAAATTTCCCACAAATTTAGTGTTATTACCTGTATAGTGGCATCCAACTCCCGAGGTAGGTCCCATCCTTACCAAGAACTATCTCTTTGAGTGAAGAAGGAAGAGCTTCAAGCTCTTCCCAATTAAACAACTGAAGGAAGTTAGTTTCCTGAGGTCCATATAATTGCTTAAATTCCATATGCATAGCAACAAGATCCTTCATCATAAACTCACTGACCCTTGTTGCTGCTTCAGTTGCATATATCTAGTAATAATAACAAACAAAAAAGAGCATAAACATCAATCAGGGAAAAAAAAAAAAAAAGAAAGAAAGAAAGAAACAGAGTCCTATATATACCTTAGCAGAAAAACCTTTGGATCGAGTAAGAAATGGCAACCCTAGCATGCCCATTGGACTTGATATCAATACAACATCAATCAAAGAAACATTCCATAGGTGAACACCCTCAATGGTTTTATAGTAAGGTTCTATAGGTATTAAATTGTTACTATCAAGCAGTTTCTTTGAAGATGGAGTAGTGAATGTCTGTTCATATAAACTAGTAGATACAGGGGAGAAGATTGTTATAGCAGAGAGGTCAAGTGGGCAATCAAATAAGATGTGGAAACCAGATAAGTTCACCATGTGGCATGGTGGAAGATTGTAACCCCTACTTTGGCTCAAACATGTCTGCACATACAAAAAAGAGCTACATGGTTATAGCATTATACATAGAAATAGAGTATAAATAAGTGGAAGTGTGTTGCTATTTATTGCACATATGGACGCAAACAGAGAGGGAGAGAGAAAAAAAGAAGATTCATACAAGCTTCATTGGGTATGAATGAGAGTGGTATCAATCAGGATATGGAACAGGTCAGATACATCCTGCAAATACGAGTAATCAAAATCATATTGTGCATAATCAGTTCAACCTTCATAGCAGAAAAATAGTAATAGTAAAAAAATGACAAAATCCTCTACTCAGCTTTCTTACTCATTTAGCATACAATTTTACCATACGAAAACAACAACATCACAAATCGAGATTCACAGCAACAGCACCAAACGAAAAAATATCAGAAAAAAATCATCAATACTTCGCTAAATCTAGCATAATCAAAGAAGAACAAAAAAAAGAAAAAAAAAAACTTGAACATCACAGCAAAAATCCAACATCTCAGCAAAATTCGAGCACAAAAAATTGGAGAAAAAAAGGTATGAAAACTCACCTGTTCAGAATCTTTATGGTTGCCTGTTGAATGGTCAGAGGAAGCTGACACAGTCGAGCAACATATCGGAATTGGAAGCAACAGTCGAACTTGATAGCAGCATCGATGGAATGGCAAAATCGTCGTCGATGGATGTTCTTCCTGTGGAGGCATTCAATCGTAGGGCAAAATCGGAAGGATGACTGTTTTGTCACATTTTTGTCCCGGTCCAAAATGAGTGTTTTGTATTTTGTCCCGGTCCAGCAAATAAAAAGGGTATGACCGGATTAGCTCCAAAGCTTGGACCGAGTCTTTGTTTGTAAAATGATCATCAAACATGTTGATTAAGTTTTTTTTTTGGACCGGTCCTTTATAGGACTCATTTAGAGGCTATATCAAACGACCCTTAGGTCGTACCAAAACAAAAGTTAATCAAGTTTCTGGTTTGTGCTAAAAAAAATAGATCTATTAAATTGATTGGCCATTGTTTTCCTTTTTATGTGAAGTAGCCCAAGCCCAAGATGGATTTAATACACACATCCACTCTTTTATTCTCATCGATACACACACATACACAACCAACTTCTAAAATCAGTGATTTCTCAGATGTATTATTGTTTTCTGCAAACCGATGACTTCTGCAAGTTTATGTTTCCCTAAATCCAGTGATTTTATAGAAGAAAAAAAGTAAATAAAAATAAAACCCTAATTTACCTAAAGAAATGATGTATAGTCGAGACCATGTGTAACACATGGTTTTTTTTGGTATGTGTTAACAACCCGTTATTTTCAAGTCAATAAAAGTCAACAAAAGTCAATGAAAGTCAAACAAGGGTCAAGTAATTGGAAACTATTGGATATAAATAAAATTTACATCTAATTATGTGTATTTAGTAAAGAAATAAAATGCACTTAAAAATAAAAAACTGTATCTTTGGAACCGAGAACCTTCGCACCGAAAACCCTCGGACCGCAAACCCCACCGACCGAAAACTCCCCTCGGACCGAAAACCCTCTCGATATATATGATTTCCCCCGAAAAATAAGTCATTTCTCACTTTTTCAACCGAAAACACACTCATTTTTCTCTCAAGTATCCTCCAAGAATCTTCAAATCTTCAAGCAAAATCCTTCAAATCTTCATAAAATTCACCAAGAACACCAAAGAACAATCTTCAAATCTTCAAGCTGACCGAAAACCACCTAGACCGAGAACTCACTCAGACCGAGAACCCTTTTAGACTGTGAACTTGGTTCTCGGTTGAGGTTTTAAGACCGAAATCAAGGGATTTCGGTGAGGAATGGACCGAAAACACTTATCATCACTCCAAATAATTCTCGGTAATTTTTGTAAGTATTCCTTACATAAGTTAAGTGTTGTCTAACACTTTAATTAATTATTTCACTAATTTAAATACGATTACGTGTTTAAATAATATTAGGATACCGTTATTTCCACGTACGCTAGTCCGATGATCATCTCTACAGTTTCGCTACCTGAACACGAACACGTACTAGAGGTGAGTTAATACCCCTACGTTTTTACTATTTTTCAATGTTTTTAGGGGGGAATACAAGTTGAACACAAGGACTATTGTGTTAACATTCAAACGATTTCAAACCGTTACAAACCATTTGCAATTGTTTCAAACCGATTTATCGCTGCAATTATCAAAATATATTATATATATTTTTAACCCTGTTGTAACATCAAAAGGGTATTTTTCATAAATCACTTACTACCGCTTTATACACACTATTAAATTGCAAATGTTTCAGTTCATTTCAGGGCATACATTTAAACTATAATTGGTATAGTTTGTGAATCATTACGCTATTTTGCTAAGTTCAATAAACGAAACAAGAACATACATTTAAACTATAATTGGTATAGTTTGTGAATCGTTACACTATTTTGCTAAAAGTTCAATAAACGATACAAGAACATACATTTAAACTATAATAGGTATAGTTTGGGAAGCACTACACTATTTTACAAGCTCAAGAACGCTATACAGAAACAAGTATATAAACTATAATAGGTATAGTTTATAGAACTATAACACCCCAAAAATCGAGACCAAAAATTTTTGTTTTTAATTATAATACTTGTAAAACTGTTTCAGTAAAACATTACTGATATCACATCAAACCACAAAACCATAGTTACATGTTTTAACAAAACATCATGTCTAATAGTATAGTGTCAGAGCACAATCTCAGGGTTCTCAAATGCGGAATCATGTGTGCATGTGTGATGTGCTGCTACCTTGCCGGCTCCTTCCCCTTAGATGAAGAGGTACCTGAAACCAAAAATAAAACTGTAAGCACAAAGCTTAGTGAGTTCCCCCATCATACTGATACCAAATAATGCATAATCCTCAGTATCTTTCAACTGCTAACTGTCGGGCATAGCCAGGAGCTGGACTCCTCTTCGGTATCTTTCAATCGGTAACCGGGAACTAACCTCCCATTCGGTATCTTTCAACCGGTAACTGGGAACTACCCTCCTCTTCGGTATCTTTCAACCAGTAACTGGGGACTATTTCACCCCTACTACTGCTAGCACGTGTCAAGCACAGTAAACATATCAGGCACAAATAATCATATCAGACACAATAATCATATCAGACACATTAATCATATCACATATCAACACTAGATAATTATCACAAAGACAATCATCTATCCAACACTCTTACTTATGGGCCGACATTATGGTCGTAGACCCACTCCTACTAGGAGGAAACTCACCTCAATGTCGTGTAGTGCCTGCACTGATCTCGGTGTGAAAATCGACTATCCTCAACTCCTCAATCCTTATACGACAGCTTATCTAAGTTATCAATTCATACTCATAACCCTTACAAGGGTCACTCATGACCAAGTCAAAGTCAAGGTTAAACCTTGGTCAAAGTCAACATCTGGTTGACTTGACTCGCTGAGTTGGTCCACCAACTCACCGAGTCCCCATGTCCACAAAATGTCATAATCTTGTCCCTACTCGTCGAGTCTAGCAAGAGCTCGATGAGTTCGTCCTTGAACTCATCGAGTCCACCTTCATCCATATGAAGGTGTTCAGTCTATGATTCGCCGAGTTCATCCTTGAACTCGTCGAGTCCGTCTTCATGTGGTTGGGACATTTCCTTGAACTCACCGAGTTCCTCCTTGAACTCGTCGAGTCCTTCGATCTTCAAGTCCATAACAAACCCCCTAACAGGTTGAATGTTCCCTCCACTCAACCAAAAACCACTTCCAGAAAACATTGGGGAAAAATGAGACCCGACTCGCCGAGTCACCCAAGAGACTCGTCGAGTACCTCTATGACCAAAAATATACAATCGATTATAATGGGTCTTAATGCATCAAAACCATAGATCTGACCTCCTACGGTCTATTTCATACGTAAAGCTACAAACTTGATGTCCATGCATGGGGCATTTGGCTTAAAAAACCATAAAAAGGGGTTTATAAGTTGCATGGGTCTCCCAAGGCCATAAAGTTGGCACCTTTATGCCATGGGAACCCCTAATGGTTCCAGATCTGAAGTGCAACTCCAAATATGCATACAAATCCGAGTATAGCCTCTCAAATGCTTAGAAAAGGTAGAAAATATCCCCAAAACAGGATCTAAGAGATAGATGGTCAAGGTCCAAGCTTTTTAACTTGAATGAACTGAGAATGAAGCAAAACCTCTGGATCTACTAGCTTCCATTTAAACTCCCAAGCTTTCTTCTTCTCTTCCAACTTCAAATGCACATAAAAGGTACCAACAAGCTAAAGAACACACAATAGAGGCTTAGGGTTTCGAGTTAGGGTTTCTCTGGGTAGGGAGGGACGATGGGGGCTGGGTTGAGGCAGAATTAGACGTTTAAACAGGGTGCAAACCCTAACATTAGGGTTTCATCCAGACATCTCCTACTCGTCGAGTAGGTCACTAAACCTCCAGGTCCAAAGTCAAGTCTACTCGACGTGTTGAGCCTCCAACTCGCCGAGTCCCAGGGAAAAACATGAAAAATACTTGAATTTAAATACGTATCATGGACCGGGTGTTACAAATCTCCCCCACTTATTTTAGACTTCGTCCTCGAAGTCTGATGCTGAATCCGGAAAAAGCCTGGGGTAGTGTCCATCATCTCGTCCTCCGGCTCCCAGATCCATTTCGAGCCCTTGCGGTGCTGCCATTGCACCTTCACCAACTCCACCCTCTTGTTCCTAAGATCCTTCGACTTTCTGTCGAGGATCGCCACTGGCCGCTCGATGTAGTTCGGGCTGTCATCCACCTGAATATCCTCCAAAGGAACCACTGCCGAGTCGTCCACCAGACACTTCCGCAACTGGGAGACGTGAAAAGTACTGTGAATCTGACTGAGTTCGGCTGGCAGATCCAGCCTATATGCCACCTTGCCCACTCGGGCTACAACCCTGAAAGGTCCAATATACCTGGGGCCCAACTTGCCCCGCTTCCTATACCGAATAACACCTTTCCAAGGAGACACCTTCAGAAGCATCATATCCCCGACCTGGAACTCCAGGTCCGAACGACGCCTGTCGGCATAACTTTTATGCCGACTCTGAGCAGTCTGAAGCCTACTCCGCACCTGCTGGATCCTCTCCGTAGTCTTGAATACCACTTCGGTACTCCCCATGACCCTCTGTCCAACCTCACCCCAGCATATCGGGGTCCTGCACTTCCTCCCGTACAACATCTCGAAGGGGGGGACGGTCGATACTCGTGTGATAGCTGTTATTATAGGAAAAATCTGCCAAAGGAAGGTAAGTATCCCAACTACCTCCGAAGTCTAGAAAGCACGCCCGCATCATATCCTCCAGAGTCTGGATGGTTCGCTCACTCTGACCATCCGTTTGCGGGTGAAAAGCGGTGCTAAAGTGCAGACGAGTACCCAGCTCGTTGTTAACACGCTGTCGCACGCGTATTAAGCAAATAAATTATCACTGTTGGTTGCACTAAAAATATAGCACAGGGAAGCAGGGTCGAATCC